TCTTATACACATCTAGATGTGTATAAGAGACAGGGTGGGCGGTGCGTAGTCTTGTGGCGGGCATGGGGGGTGTCACGGGGGAGAGGAGGGGATGTTGGAGGAGATGCAAATGGGAGGCCGTGAGGTGTGAGCGTATGTTGTTGTTGTCTAGCTGTGGGGGCGCCTCACACAATTTTGGGTAGGAGGTAGGGGGTGTTGTGAGAGGGGATTGGGGATTCCCAGGGGGCTCTGAGGATTTTTTTTTTTTTTTTTGCATTGTGCCGTGCGAGAACTTGTGTGTCACACAGCGCAAAAGTTCTTCCGTTTCTGCGCCGTGCAAGATGTGAGAAATTTCTTGTGTTTTGCGGCGTTTGCCACATGAGCAGCGTTGTGCCGTGTGATAATTTTCGTGTCGAGGACTGTCTCACTGGGTAAGAATTCTTGCCTAGCGCAAGAATACCCGTTCATCCGGGTCGTCGTCGGGGAAAAGAAAATGGACTCGCCTCGACCTCATGATGCAGCCCGCAATTCGACTAAGTTCCAGAAAAAAAAAACTTGGTAGTTGATTATTTGAATTTGTAAAAAAAGTTACTAAAAACACTACAAATAAAAGAAATCAGAAGAAACATAACAAAACAAAAAGTTCAAAAAAGTTAAACAAAAAAACAGATAAGGTAAAACCCAGCGAACCCTGCATTGCGTCTAGGGCAACAAGGGCATGAGGCTGTGCTTTCTCCTTGCTGCTACCCCTTTTCATCTATCTTGACCTCTGGTCTATGCTTGCCGGTGGTAAGCAACTGGAATGCTGCCCCCAGAATAGATGGGGCTTTGAGTTTGGGAAAAAGAAATAAAAAAAATCCCAGCGAACACTGTTTCGACATCATGATGCGGCCACACAACAGCAATTGTGAATGAAGTCATGAACTCACATTTAATTCAGATCAGTGATTAGGACTGATTACTATTTACTATTTAGTATTTACTATTTATTGTGTGTTGTATTATGTCTGGTAATTACAAACTGAATGGTGTAAAAGTTAAAACTTTAAAACTTTAAAACTTTGCCAACACGACACATGAGCAGCCCTTATCTAGTACGGGATTCCCACTTGTTCGGTCATCTTTTTTGGTGATAAATTGATATCAGGGTACTGATTTACTAAATATACTGATTCAGAGCTGAACGGTCACAATTGATTGTTCTTCAAACAGGGCACATGAGCGATTCACAGCGAGTCAGATTCGCAAGATCTACGAGACGAGGAGGTAGAAAGTGAACTGAGCACCCTTGTTACATCTCCCTTCCTCTATCCTTCCTTCCCCGTACACTCCCTCCCCTCTCCTCCCTCCTGCCTTCTCCTCCCTCCCCTCACAAGTGGTTAACGTGGACCCTCCACTGTTCATCGTTTCAATTAACCGTCCAAACCGTGGAATGGCTTCAGTTACCCTCTTCTCCCTCCCCTCCACAACTCCTCACGGTGTCCCCTTCCTTCCTGACCTCCTCGTCTTCTATTGTCCTTTTCATTCTTTCTCCGATGCTGCTGCTGTGCGCGCTACCTGTCTCATGTCAGTTTTCATAACGAACATTTTTGTGTTTGTAACCTTGTGTGTGGTGCTTGGCATGCCCATTACTTGGCTCTTCATCCGCAACTTTGTCTGTATTTTTTCTCACTCAAACCTTTGCTCAACCATCTTCTTTTTTTTAATAATATAATAATTATTAAACAAACCTGTGCTCAACCACCTTTTTTTATTTCAGCTATAAGTTTGGTTAACAATCGCTGAAATACTACCTGACAAAAATTCACAAAAGGCAACTCAAATTGCCATTAATCAGAGGATGGGTATTCAGCTCAGCAGGGTTTGGGCGATTCCGTCAGTGAGCACCAGTTCACAGTGCTACCCTCGGGGCCAATGCATGGTGCGGGCGTCTGGCGACAACGACCAGTGGGTGGGCTAGTACGACCATCACCCCTTGCCATCGCCTGACGGCTCTGTCCATCTTGATTGCGCACGCCGATCAGGTGAGCAGGCAAGAGGTCATGGGCGAGCGAAAGTGATGAAGTGTGTGGAATGTAAGTGGACAAGGGGAATAGGTGGGAAGAGGAAGGCCAGAGGAAAACTCCAAATGTACAGACTGAACAGAGAAATGAAGCTTTGTTTGCCTCAGTCGAGGAACAATGACAAAGTAAAGGACCTGCTCATCAAAAAATAACAAAAAAAACAGAAGAAGAAGACGACGACGACGATGACGACGATGGCGACGACGACGACGATGACGACGACGACGAAGAAGAAGAAGAAGAATTGGTTGGGCTTAAAAGAATCACCTTAAACCTAGCCAGCACGTCCGGATATCCGGCAGACCAGTTTTAAACCACTACCTTTCATGGGCAAACACAAAGTCTATCTAGTAGCCTACTCCTGAAAAGACGGGGGATCGGGGCAGGGTTGGAGGACGAAGAGAAAAAGAAGAAAAAAAGAAGGAAGAATTCAAAAAAATGAAAAAAAAAACTAAGAACTTTGGATCCACCGATATCGGGGAAGGCCCGCACGGAGGTGGAAGTTACACTGGTGCTTTGAGGAGGTATCTGGGCAGTATGTGAGTAACGTGAAACATGTTGTTTTTGTTTTTTTCGTTTTTTGTTTTTTTTCGTTTTTTCGTTTTGTTTTGTTTTTTCCATGGCAACCGCGGACCCGGACCCGGACATGTCTGGACCGAGGCCCAGACATTTGTCTGGACTGGTCCAGACGTCCGGTAATCTGGACAGGCACCGGACAACCGGGCAGGACCGGACCCGGACCGTCCGGACTGGTACACCAGACACAAAAATGTCCGGACCGAGAAAACAAGCGCTGAAGCTAGACGCTCCCCTCTCACAGGAAGAACTACGGGCAGCCCTTAAGACGATGTCTCCAAACAAAACACCAGGAAAGGATGGACTTACAAGGGAGTTCTGGATGGAATTCTGGCCAATCTTGGGGGGGGGAATACGAGCAGTACCTGAATAAAGCTTGGCAGGAGGAGAGTCTGGGAGTAGACCCGGCCACATGCATAGTCACGTTGCTGTACAAGAAGGGAGATCCAAAAGACATAAAAAATTACAGACCCATCATGTTACTGACACTAACACACAAAATAGTAGCAAAGGCCCTAGCCAATAGACTGAGTAAGGTGACCGGGGGATGCTTTCATTTCGACCAGACTGGATTTATTCCGAGACGGTTTATCCTCGATAATGTAATGATGCTTTCGGAGTCAGTAAGATACATCAGAGAAAAAAGAATCAATGCGGCTATCCTATTTTTTGACTTTGAAAAGGCGTACGACCAGGTAAATTGGAATTCCTTCAGCAATGTATGGAAAAAATTGGAGTGGGGCCCAAGTTTCGAAAATGGATAAGGGTTCTCTAAAATGACGCCCACGAGCAGGTCCAGGTAAATGGACACCTATCAGAGAGGTATAGGATTTCAAGGTCTGTTCGACAAGGCGATCCTCTAGCGGCCCCTGTCTTTCTCTTTATCATGGAAGCGATAGCTGCCTTCTTAAGGAAGGAACCCTCGATGGACATGTTAGTAGCGGAACCAGACCAGCAAGGTAGAGCCATCAAGCTCCCCACAACCATACTCTTCGCATATGACTTGACAGTTTTGATAAGGGTCTCAGACTCCTCCTTCGAAGCCCTCACAAGGGCAATGAGTGCCTTCCAGTTAGCGTCAGAAATGAGAATCAATTGGCCCAAGACAATGGGTTGGTGGCTGGTACAAGGGACAAAAGAGGGACAACTCCACCCAGCGAACTACGGCAGGATGAGTTGGGTCTTAACTGTCGAACCTTTGCGGTATCTAGGGGTTAGACTGGCGGACTCAGGCCCCCACCACTCGATGGCATCGGAACTCCTGACAAAAATTCTAACAAGGACCAGTGCGTGGTCCCAGGTTTGCACATCTGTATTTGGACGAGCCCTCATTCTTAACACCTCAGTGTACTCTATGCTGTGGTACGCTGGCTCGATATGGACTCCACTAGTCCAGGCAATGAAGGAACTAAGGAGAGAATCAGCGGCGTTCCTGTCGACATCGAACCCAACTAAGCAACATTTTATCTCCAAGGTGGCATGGTGGCATGTCATTAAATCCAAGAACCAAGGGGGAACTGGGCATACTGGATCCGGAACAACAACTGAAGGCACTCCAAACAAAATGGATTTTGAAGCTGATCGCGCGCCCGCAGCTACCCTGGGTCCCTCTAGCTATGGAGCACATCAGGAAACAGACCAAGTACAAAACCCCCTCTAACATGGAAGGAGCCTTCTGGTTATTGAGTAAGAGCTGGGCAAGGAAAGGAAGGAGTGGAAACAAGGGAGGAACAGAAGAAGGAGGCCCTAGGGGAGGATCATATTGGGCTCAGCTGCTGAAAGGTTGGACGGAAATTTTCCCGACGAAAGTCAAGGAACCAAGTACAAGGGAGGAAGTCCTGAGACAACCCCTCTTCTGCAATCCATGGGTTAAGGACCAGCAGGGGAAACCGCACACTCTTACAACGAAAGACACTAAGTGGGGAATCTGGCAGGTCAAACACCTCTGGTCGGAAGATAAACAGCAGTGGAAGATGGCTCGAGAGCTAAGGGAGGTGTTGAAGGGGAGCCACAGGCTGGCAGAGAATCTGAGCAAGATCTTGTTTTTAATCCTGGAGGGTTGGGTCAGGTTACTCCAGAGGCCACGACAATGGGATTGCTGAGAGTGGGCAGCTTGGTGAAATAAGGACGCTCCAACGGAAGCATTTAGAATTGGGGGACAGGTGGGACCGGGACCGGAATGGCTGAGTGCACAGATGTACACAATCCAATCCCCAGGGGCCTATATAAGCCAATTGGACAAGGATACGGCCACCCAGATCACCATAAAAAAGGACCAGCTGAGGAAAGTGAAGGTGATAGAGACGGAGGAATTCACAATCTTTGCTCCAGCAGCGGATATTCATAACTTGGAGGTTGACCCAGTGGAGTGGGCCTGGAACCTCAGGGTGGGCTCACTAGGCCTAACGAGAAGAATCAACATACTGCACTATACAACCGAGCTGGGCTACAGACTCAGAAAGCGCTCATCGCATTTAGCTGAACCCTTGGCATTTAGATGGGCGAAGAGAATGCAGGTGCCGAAGAAAAAAGTGGCAAGATTACCATGCGCATCCCTACATCAGATCCGCTTAAGTAAGGTAAGGAGTTTGCAGTGGTTGATCCTCCACGTGGCAGTCCCGGTCAACTCATGGCTTTTTTAGCGTAGCAGTCAACACCACCGTGATCCCTCCAGTCAACAGTGCACACAATGCACGAAAGGAGTACTGGAGACCCTGCATCACTGTCTCCTCTCTTGCCCAGAAGCAGTATATGTATGGGACGTGGCCAAGTCATTCTGGACTAAAATTACAGACTCCCCCTTCCCCGAGGGCGAGGAGACGTTTCTGATAGGAAGTGACCCTCCTGCGGTCGGGCCTCAGTACTTTCCAGCTTATAAGGCAATACGTACTATGGACGATATGGAAGCGCAGATGCCAGCAGGCCATCGGACAATTGCAAGGAACCCGACTGTTCACAGCTTGCTTGAGAGCATCATTCCGCATGCATACATGTCAACACATGTACAAAATGGCTTCACACAAAACCAGATTGAGATGAGATAAGAACCAAGTAGCGCAGCTTATATTATCAATGTCACTTAATACAAAGAGTATCATGAGTTCCAGAGATCAGCGCCAACAAGAGATAGTCCCCCTCGTCACACAACAACATGGGATCTGGCTCAGCCAGCATCCTCCTTCAGATTACAGATGTGGTGCCAACAGGTAAGTATCCACCATATCCAGACTCACTTCCTGTCTTCTCTCTCTCTTGACCTCTTCTCTCTCTCTCTCTAGAACTATGTCTTGGTTCTCTCACTTCACTCTGCATGCACACTCTCACCTACGAAGATCTACTTTGAATGTCACTCACTGATA